ATCTAAGAATCGTACTTTTTCGATTATTCTCTTATTTATTTTCACATTACTGAACCAAATCACACTGATGATGATAGAAAATTTTGGCCACTTTGATCTGCAAGCAACTCCGGAAAAAACGACATCATCGAAAACGTTATTGATAGAAATACCCATTCGGTTGTTATTGACCTTCAAGACAACATCCCAAGGATCTGATGCATCTAGTCAGGGAAATTTTAGACACAATTCGGTGGAATAAAGCTCTATACCATGCATCCCTTTCTTGATAAATCATTGATTGCACAACGTTTGTCATGCGATCATTCTAGGACAACATCCTTCTGCTTTTAGTTGTCATTAAGAACCAGCATTTGAGCAAAGATTTTTTGTTTCTCCAAAAGTAGAAAATGCTGACTGCTCAATTTGTTATATAATGGGAGCGTTCATGATTTTAGAGTAGAAATTCCAGCGAAGATGAATCCAACTAGAACACAGAAGACGTTCAATTTTTTATTAGGTTTATCACAACAATTAAGCTGTCAAAAAGAGTGTTGAGGTCAGAAAACCAACTAGCGCACGGTTGACATTCAATTCTATTTAATAAGTTTATCACAACAATTAGGCTGTCAAACAAGAGTGCTCAGCTTTAAAACTTTAAAAAATAAAAACTTTACTAAAACTTTACTAAAAAAAATAACTGAAAATTAACTGTTGCTACAAAATTGCTTGCCAGGCGTTACTTTTTTGGCATAAAAAATAACTGCGTGTATGTATATTAAGGTTGGATAATGAAAATTCTATGTTGTTTTTTAATCTAAAAACAAGACTAATCTAAAAATCAAAAACAAGTTTCGAGAAAAAATTTTATAGTCCTTCATTGAGTAAAGTTTTGACTGGAAAAAGAAAAATTGCAAAAAAATTCATTGTCCAGTTTAGTTGACATCATGTTGCTTGGATTAAAAAAAAACCAGATGCCCTACGTCTAATATTACCGATGTTGACTTCCAAAGACCAAAAAACCTTTTCATACCGTTCCACGTTTTATACACTTTTCATGAACTTTTGCTGAAATAGTGTAAGGGAACTTTTGAAGAATTTTTTTTTGCTATAACATGAAAAAAGTCGCCCGAGTGAAAAAAAGCTTTGACAAAAAAAGCTACTCAGACCACTTACACAAAGAGAAACTGTATGACAAAGGCTTTTTTTGAGGGCCACTCCAAAAACGTAGAATCGAATTTGCCCTGAAAAGTTTTTGTACTAAAAAAAACAAATTTTGTACTCAATCAACTGTTTTCAACAAAAACTTTCCTCTTCTTTTTTTTGTGTGCATCACATATTCCTGGATAAACAAAACTTGAAAAATTGTTCCTTGTATTCAATTTGAGCTTTTTTATTTCAAGTGCCCTAAAGTTTAAAAAATATTTTGTATTGCAGAGAAATAATGCCTTGGGCAGGACATGATCAATTAGAGTTTCTATGCAAAACTTTATCTAGAAGTTTTTTCAATCTATTGCTCGACCAAATAACTTTTCTTTAGGCCGTTTCCAATGCAGTGTACATGCAAGACCGTCGATACATTTTTATTGGTATTAGCTTTGCGTAACCATAGTCTCTGTCAATTGCGTTCGGTTATAAGCAGCCCAAAAATTTTGAGACATAATTGTACAGTTGTCTTATACGGAAAATCTTTAATTGTAAACTTAGATGCAATTTTGTGATAATTTTATTTGCATGAAGAGTGTATGACTGACAATTTTCCATATATGAAAATTGTAAGAATAGCATTTTGGGTCAAGATTTAGGTGTTTTTCAAGTTTTGTACCTTTTCTTACACAATTTATCTCTAAGAATTTTACAAAACAGAAACTATTTCGGATTAAAATTTTGTAAATTTTTTTTTCAAAAAAATTTTAATTAACCGATTTGAAAGTTTTCCGTAGTTTCAGAAAACAAAAATGAAACCTCGTACGCCAAAAAGATTGTTGTGCTACATAGGTTGCTAATTAAACATCCCGAAGAGTTCGTTTTTGTGGGTTTCTAGTATTTTGAATATTTATACCTGAATACCACAAACAACAAGTTATATTAATGATTCGCAGAAAATGACTTTTTATTTTCTTCAAAACTGTTAAAACTGCCAATTGCGTATAACTAGGATTTATCAGTAATCAAGTTTTCCGTTTCGAATTTTTTTGTTCGAAAATCATCCATGATAACCACTATCTGAAAATTTCTACATGCACAAAAATTGCTCTCTTAGAACTTCTCTGATAAGTAAATTGTAAGATATCGGAAATTTTTCTACAAACGTTTTTTTAGACCTTCTAAGATAAATGAATTTTCAGTGGACGGTCAACCAGGGAGCCCGTGGTTTTTGTTAGAGTCAGGCGTAACAAGTCGACTTTGGTTTCTTTAAACTTTTTCAATAAATAACTGAACCTACATCCATTACGTCGGACGCTATATGACATGATACTACAAAATTGATTTTCTATTGCCTTCAAAACAATTTCGAACCGCTAATTAGGTAAAACTAGGATATTTATTTTTAAAATGAAATAGTTTCATATCTTTTTTTTATTCGAAATGCATACATTATAACCACTACCTAAAAATTTTACGAGCATAAAATGTAAGTGCATTAAGAAGTTGGTATCGTGAAATCTCGATCGGGCAATGCTTAGTTTCGGTTCGCCTTCACATAATTTCTTCACATATTTCTCATTCCATCTTGATTAGCTCAAACACATCTAAGAGACATTTCAAGTCACCAGGCCATTTTTCAGTTTAACACAAATTTTCATGGATTACAAATAAGGAAAACTGACGGAAGATAAATTCTTAACCCTACTCTTCATGGCTCGGCAGTTAAGAATTTTTTTCTAATTTAACAATACCCGCACTCTTAAAATGAATTAGGATTGATTTTAGAATAAAATGAGTATATACATTCAATTGAGATCAATTTTAGCATGAAAGAAGCACAAAGATTAAATAAAAAAAGTAATAGTTTGATTTGGGATTTTCTAAATCGATTTAAATTGATCTGTAATCCCAGCTACATAAATTCAGAGTTTTTGATAACATTCAATGATTTCTTTGCTTAATTTGAGAAAAATCTGATTCAGATTAAACATTTTCTAGATTTGTAACATTGATTGTTGCCAAAAGTTGATTTACTTTGATAATTTTCTATGATTAAAGTTGCTTTTTTGAGCTCAAACTCTAATTTGGAGCAGTTTCTCATCTGTTACCTAAGTTTTTCCAAAAGCTGACTGACTCTGATGATTTTCTATGATTATTATTTTGCTTTACTTTGAGCTTAAAATTGAATTTTTATGGAGATCTTTCTAATTTGTTTCATAGGTTTTAATTGATTGTAATAGTTTGTACCCAATTATTTTGTTTGTAATTGAAAGTTTGTTGTTAAACAAAATATCGACCTTAAATTTCAATATGTAGCTTATGCTCGTAAATATGTTGTTGACTTTTTTGTAAATCAATTAACATAGAGAAATTTGCTGAAACGAATCAGATGAAGCATAACCACAGGCAAGTCTTTCATAGCATTGATAAATCGTTCCAACCCGGGTTGACGAAAATGTAATCATAAAACTCTTATACAGATTTCCAAAGACTTCAGGCATTTGAAAAACCGTAGAGAAATTTTTATGATCTTCATTTTTTATATAAAAACTGAATGCCAACTGGAACCAATATTGGTTATAATGAGGTTTTGTCGACCAAAATCTTGACCAGATATACTACACGCACTGGAGTTCAATGGATAATAATCGATTACAATGGGAAATTGTTGGCTAAAATGTTGTCATTAAATTACAAAAATTGCTGCCAATTTAGACCACTAAATCGATTATATTGTCATTATAATCGATTTTTTGCGTAGAAACTTAATCCACTAAAATCCATTATAATTGAATATAATAGATTATTATTTTTATATTTTTATGCAAAAATCATTTTCAAAACTTTTCTGCGTTAAACACGGCCAACTCGCAATCTAAACCTACTCTAACTATTCCCCCTCACTTTCCCCTTATCCGCTTTTGCCTAAATTAAGTCCCCTCGCCCCCAATCCCCTGCGTTTATCCCTACGGCCAACCCCATGTGTAATAAAGTTTACCCCCAAAACCAACCCCCCCCCCCAAGTTACAGTTTACCCCACCCCACCCAGTTTGTTTACCACTGAACGGGAACGGGGGATGGGGGATACTCAGTGTGAACAACACCTATTTACCCCATTCTCTTTTTTAACCCCCTCACCCAAAATTTTTGTTCCACCATCCCCCCATTTTTTTTACCCCCCTTACGTCCAGCGAACGGGGGGGGGGGGGGTTAAACTAAGATAGGGGGGAGGGGTACAATGAGGAGGGGTAAGCTAGGTGAGGGAGAGGGGGCGGGCGAAGGGTAACTTTTTTTGGGGGGGGGGGGGGGGGGTTATACTGGGGAAGGGGGTTGTTGATGATGGATTAAATTGGTATGAAAAATACTAGGATTATAATCCAATTTTGATGCATTACAATCAATTATTTTTGTAATTTTATAGATACTGACCAAAAAAATCACAATGTAATCGATTATTATCCATGGAACTCCAGTGCGGGTAATCATACAAATGCGAGAATTGAAAACATGGCGTTTTTGCATTGACAAATTAATTGGATTTTGGTGGATGGAGGTCAACCCGGGCTCTTTCTATGTCCACTGATCTTTAAATAGTCTTCGGAGATCGATTTGTGTTCCATTTATATACCTGGAGTATTTTGGTGAAAGAAAGCTTGAATCGCTTAATGTCAAATAATTTTGCAATTTTATAATCTTCTGCATTTTTTTGGCTTTTTGAGGCTAAAATCAATCTCCAAAAACTTGTTTACAGAATTTTCATCCCTATCTAACTAAACGTAACCGTATCTGATTGGTATGTCATTTTGAGGGGTTCTTGAGTTTTCACAGAAGTAAAGTCATGATAGTATTTCTATTTCTGTCAGATTTATATTGAAAGTGAAAATGTTCTGCTCTTAGCTTCATCATGCATCCTTTTTTAATTATTCAACTTCCGATGCTATTTATTCTATTCTGGTCGGAGTTTGGCTCTGCAGTTGTGGATGGGGAGAGATGGGAGTCTCTTGTGTTTGTTCTGGCCGATAGAGAGGGAAACGAATTAGGCAGAAAATGCGCATCCCTCGGGTGAAATGTTTGAGATATATGCTCTCCTAATCCAAGCGAATTTGTTATCTTTCAACGAATTTCTAAACAATTTTTCAAGTTTCGATGAAAATTTCAAAATCACCTTTTGAGCTTCAGAGAAAACCATATCAATTTTAAGGCTCATAATATTGTTTTTTTTTGCAGTATTTACTCTCATTCAAAAGCCTGGTTTTGATGAATCGTTGCAATCCTTTATAAATATTTTCAAGGTAAAAGATCTTTGAGCAAGCTATCCAAAATTTTTGGACGTATGCTTGTTGAAGTAAAATGACCAAACGACGCATTTAAAAATATATGTATACGAATTTTCACATTGCTTCAATCTAGTTAACAGTTTCATCTATGAATCTCTTTAAGTTGTAGAAAAAAACTTCAGAAATGCGAAAAAATGTTTTCGCGTGAAAACTAAAAATTGTTTCTTAGTTATATGACTTTGTATCAATTTTCTGACAAAATTCAAGAGTTATTCCAGCAATAAATTCATTCCATTTTGTTTGCGATTTTTAATTTTGTGACTTCTTTTTAGCGTTCGATTCTGTCTTTACGGCTATCTAATTGACAACGAACATCAAAATCAAAATGAAGCTGGTCCTAGTAATACTCATCACAACGAACACTTAAGTGGTGTTCTGCACAGTTCTGGCAGCGGTGTTCCACACGTGAACAGGAGAGGCCCACGGTATAGTTGGGATGAGAGACTGGAACAGGTGATGGAGTTGGTGATCCGGAAAGATTTCGCCAGTTTGAACTGGTTTTCTCTGGATGACAGTGAGCTGGGTAATATACTGTTCTTTCATAGTTTACAGTTTCACGTTTACTTTTTTGAGAATGTTTTTTTTCTTCTAAAGTCGATGGGTTCTAAGTTCATTGTTTTGAAAGAGATGAAATTTCAAAGGAGTAAGAAAAGAAAAACTTTTTTTTGTGTGTGCGTTTCTATTTTTGTCTATAACAAAGGCAATCTTGTTGACAAACCCTTAAACATTCAACTGAAACGGTAAAAATTAATAGCGCTTTTATAGGTCGCTGCTGCGGCTTCCAAATGCGTCTGTTGAGAGAAGAGGGGGTTGAGAAGGGAGAAATGTCGCCCCCCGAATATTTGGGAAAAGTACACGATTTCCACTCCCAGGGCAAACACCTCAACTACATAAGTGTGAGTTGTTGACGAGTAAAAAGTTCTTGAAGTTATTAGAAATAATTAATAGTTTCTCATGAACATTTATTTTCACATGTAATCAGTTCTGAGAAACTTTAATGTTCCGCCCTCTCGAAGACTGAGAAAATACTATAGCTTAAGGCCCGTCTTTCAATTTTGAACATCCAAATTTTTCTACCTCAAGAAAAGCTCTCAGGCGTTCAGGTGTGGTATCAAATTTAAGTTGGCGTGAACTGGCGCCATTGGGTGTGATTTGGAATGTAGAAATTCTCTGTCAACAATGTGGTGGATCTGTGAAAAATATGGACCAAGATAGTGATACGTGTTAAGATAATACTGACAAAATTATTTTAAAAAAAGTCAAAAAAAATTTTTCAAAGAATTTTGTTAAATAATTTAGAGTTAGAAATAAATTGAATTAGAATTTTTTTCATTTAGGGAGCTGAAATAGTCTCGAAATCCTTCTTTTTATGTTGCCTTTTCAACAGAAAACTGCATTTTTCAAATTATTAATTTGTTTTTAAGGAAACAAACTTTTTGTAATAACTCTACACGTGCTTTTTTATGCGTACATGGTCGTTTATCACTTAAAGGTAACAAAACTGCTTTTTGGCGCTCAAAATAATTGTTTTGTATCTTTTGGTTTTGATTGTACAAGGTTTTTTCATATGGATGTTTTTGAAATTGTGTTTGTTTTTACAATTCCATCAGCTGAGACAAAAAATAAATTCAACGCGTTATCGTCAATTTCACACATGATAAACTGGCAAACCGTATTTAACTTAAGCAAAAAATTTCGATTCCAAGTAACGGTTTCCAACCACTTGAAAATTTCTGAAATCGCAAGAATTTTTTGTATTTGCAAGAACGTCCAACGTTTGGTGCTTTGAAACGACCTGAATTAACTTAGAGCCGTCTTTTACAAATGATATAACGAAAGTAACAAGTTGTTAAATTTTGGCAAAAATTATCAACAATGAATATTTTCAAAATTTAATCAAAGCATTCTAGGACTACGTTATGCTCACAAAAAAAATTTAGCATGCAAAAAAATATCGGAAAATGTTTGATTGATTATAAAAATTTCGATTTGTGGTTGTAAAAAAAATCACAAAAAAAACAAAATTTTGGGGCAATTTCAAATTTAATTGAAATTTTTTTTTCGCCATCAAAAAATACTAGTCATAAAATTGCCATTTATGGAAAGTGTATGATTTGCTTTTTTTGAGAAAAAAATATTACTTTCCATTAAACTATTCAAAATTAAGTCGGTTGAATAGTCTGTATAGAAAATAGAAATTTTTCAAAGCTTCATAGCCGGATTGGATTCGTTTGCTTGAGAAAAATTTAAATTATTTGCAAACCGATTGGTTCTATGAAACTTTTTGGTATGTTTCCAAGTTAAATCACTTGAAAAAGTTGCTTAGATAAACTTTGAATTTGTGCATTTTTATCCGTTCTATATGTTCTATGATACAACGTGAAATTTCATCTTGCTATAAAAATTTATCAATGTTTCATGATTAATTTGCTTTGAAAAATTGATCTTTTCGCGAACCTTTCGAATTAACTTGACTTTTTTTTATAAATAATTTATCAATGTTTCATGATTAGTTTGCGTCGAAAAATTGATCTTTTCGCGAACCTTTCGAATTAACTTGACTTTTTTTTGAAATTCACACAGAAACCAAATGTTGTATGGAATCATTTGAATCTTTTCATAGCTCGAATAGCTTTTACAGAGAAAAAACATTCAGGACCCAATTGGCTCGGTTTTTCTCAAGCTAACCGAGAGAACAAATGTGCGCGAATTGATTATTTGTTCTTTCCGTAGCTTGAATAGCTTGCATACAAAACTTGAATTTTCTCCAAACTCATTCGCTCTGTGGAACAATTGAAATAAGTTAAAAGTTTCAGAGCTTGCATGAATAACTCGAATTTGTCGCAAACATGTTCACTGTATGAAATAATTGTAATTTTTTGAATTTAAATTTCTTGAATAGCTTGCGTTAAAAAGTTGCTCTATGAAATTGTAAAAAAATTATTTCAAATTTTTAAGGCATAAATGATTTTTCTTGAATTTTTGCAACCTAATTTGCTCCACAAAAAAGTTAAATTGTTTCAATAGCTTGAAATTTTTTGAGTTAACTTGCTCCAAAAATTTTGAGAAATTACAAAGTTTCGTAGCTTGAAATGCTTGCTTTAAAAAGTTTGAAGTTTTGCGAACTTATTTGAACTATAAAAAAACTGAAAAAATTCCAAAGTTTTGTAGCCTCAATCGCTCGCTTTAAAGAAACTGTTTTAAAGTTTTATTGCAGGAATAGCTCGCTTGGAAAAAAATTTGAACCATTTCGCTCTAAAGGTGAACCATTCCGCTCTATGTAATAATTTGTAGTGTTTTAAAAATATTTCGCTTGAAGAAGTCGCTACAAAAAAAATAGTTTTTAGCAATCCTGTTCTCGCTATAACATAACAAAAATCATTTCAAGTTTTCATCGCTTGAAGAGCGTGCTCAGAAACCTTAATTTTTGCAGAAAAAAATCGATCTGTGAAACAATTTAATATCTTAATTTTTCCAAATTGTCATGTTTTAAACTTGCATTGGATGAAAATCTTTGTTTTTCTGCAAGTGATTCCGTCTAAAAACCAACTTGAGACAATTCAAAGTTTCGCCGCTTTAAAGGGTTTTTAAGGAAAAAATTTTGCCGTCCGATTATCTTTAAGAAATCAACCAACTAACTGATTTCATTAAGATTTCAAAACATGTTTCACTAAAACTTGATTTTTTTTTCTGCAAAGCGAATCGTTTTATGAATTAGGTTGAACTTTCACAAAAAATGAATTATTTGAGTAGCTTGCATAGAAAACCTGAATTTTTCAAAAAAAACTAATTTGGTCTACACGACAACTTCAAAAACTCATCGCCTTATTCGCTTCAAAAGAGAAGTTTCATTTTTTGTCATTCGATTTGCTCAAAAAATCAAAAACGATTCAAATTTTAATAAGTTAAATGCCAAATTATTTGAATTGTTCTCGAACCTATTTGCTTTATCAAAAACTTAAATATTTAAAAGTTTCAAAGCTTTGTTCGCTTGCCTAAGTAAAAATCATACATTTCGCGAACTGATTCGCACTATGAAAGATTTTTTGAGTTACCTCAAGAGTTTGCACAGGAAAATATAATTCGTTTGCTCTTTAAAAATTTTGAAAAATTTCGAAGTTTCAAAGCATAAAGATCTTGTTTTAAAATACTTGAGTTTTGGCAAGCCGAATCAATCTTTGGGTCATATTACAAACTCGAATTGTTTTGAAAAAACAAATAACTGAAAGAGCTTGCATAGGAAACTTGATTTTTTTGCAAACTGATTCGGTCTATTGTAAAAATAATGTAATACAAATGTTCTGTGCTGGAAAAAATTGCTTATGAATACTTGAATTTTTCGTAAGTCGAATCTCCCTATCAATCTGTTGAAAATTTTCAAACTTGATTCGCTTGAAAAGCTTGAACTTTTCGCTGATCTGAAAAATGTTTAACCTGAACTGTTTCAAAAATAAAAATTGCTTGAATGGCTTTAAAATAAAAGCTGTAACTTTTTTCTATCTGATTCCCTCCTATAAAATAGGTTGAATTGATTCTAAATTGAATTATCTGAATAGCTTACATCAAATTGTTATTCTCGAACAATCTTTGCCAGTAAAAAGTTTAAAATATCTTAAAATTTCATAGTATGACTAGCCTGCTTAAGAAAAATTTGACTTTTTCGCAAAACGAACTACTCTAGAAAATATTTTGAAATACATTAAAATTTCATTGTTTGAGTAGTTTGCATAAAACTTGACTTATTTGTGATTCCAATCGTTTTATTAAATAATTTGAAATGTTTTAAAAAATAAATGACTGAATTGCCTTCATAGAAAAACTTGATTAATTTACAAAACATTTTGGTCCTCAAAGGTCAAAGCTTCATCGCTTCAATGACTTTAAGAGAAAAGTTTGATTTTTTTGCCATCCAATTTTCTCTATGGAAAAAATTTCGAATTTTATAGCTTGACTATTTTGGTTAAAAAACTTTAACTTTTGCTGAAGTCTTTCGCTCTATCAAACAATTTGAAAATTAAATTCGACTCAATAGCCAGTAAGGGAAAACTTGAATTTTTCGCGAAGCAGTTTTTTGTCTACAAAAAACCTGAATAATTTCAAAGTGTCATGTACAAAATTGCATGCTTCAGAAAACAAATTTGCGAAACAATAAGTTGGCCTATCAAAAATTTGATCAAATTCAAAGTTTTATGGCTTGAAAAACAAGCTCAAGAAGAAAATGATTTTTTGGAGAACATATTTGCTCAATGAAATAGCTCTTCAAAAGTGTAAAAGTTGAATCGCTTGAATATCTTGCTACAAACAACTTCAGTGTTTAGCAAACCGGTTCTTGCTATGACGTAACAGAAGTATCTTCGCCTCAGAAGTAAATTTCATCGCTTGAGACACGTGCTTAGAAAACTTGAACTTTTCGCAAACCGATTTGCCCTGTGGAACAACTTGAAAAATTTCATTACTTCAGATTGAAAAGCTTGCATAAAACGAGCATAAATTTGAGCTTAGTCAAAACATTTCGGTGGAATACTTACAATGGGACGGTCAAAACTTTTCTTGACTGAGTTTTAAATAAAAATTTTATGTTTTTTCTTGCAATCTAATTAGCTCAATGACTCAACCTGAAGTAATTGAAATTTCATAGCTTGAATAAATTGCTTCAAAACATAATTTGCATGAGTTTTTTGCATACAATAAGGTAAGTTTTTTAGAAAAAGTTTTGGCATACAAAACAACTTGAATTTTTTTGAAATTTCAATGAGTACGTGTCTTCCAAAACTTGGAAACTTCGCTCTCCATTTCACTTGTTTGAATTAATTCAAAGTTTAATCATTTGAATAGCTTGCATAGAAAATTTTAACCTGATTGGTCTACCAGAAATCTAAAATATATCAAAATTTCGTAGGTTGAATCGTTATCTTAAGAAAAACTCAACTTTTTCTCAAACTGACTCGCTCAATGAAACAAATTGATGTTTTTCCAATCAATTGCCATGGCTTGATAAAGATTAAATAAATCAATTTAGAAGTTTCTCAAAACGAATCCAAATAAAAAATCTGAATTGTTTCAACATTTCAACCATTCTCGAAAATTTTTGCCATCCGAGTAGCCTTATGAAAAGTCTGATATAAAAAATTTTCATTGCTCGAAAAACTTGTTGAAAATCATCTAAGCGTCTTGCGCAATGATTTACTCGATGAAATAATCAAATGTTCAATTGCTTGTGTAGCTTGCTTATAAGAATCTGATTTTTAGGCAAACTGAGTTGGTCTATGGCCTAATATAAAAAAATTAAAAGTTCAATTGCCTAAAAAGGTTTCATAGAAATTTTTTTAAAAAAAACTTGGAAAGCAAATTGATTTAGTGACCGACTTGAGATAACAAAAGTTTGTAGCTTGTTTAGAATCACACCATGAACTAACTTGAAAAGTTTTGAATTTAAATCGCTCGAATATCTTGCTACAAGTTTTGAGCCTCTAAAAAACCGGCTCGTATAAGTATTTCAAACTTTTGCTTGACAAGCGTGCTTAGAAAACTTGAAAATTGAAACCGAAACCGATTCGATCTGTGGAATAACTTAAACATTTTCAATGTTTCGTTTTAAAAAGCTTGTCTAGGAAAATTTTAACTTTTCTCAAAATGAAACGGTCTAAAGTCAACTTAAGAGAGTTCGTGAATTTTTTGTTACTTTAGCTCCGCTTAGTTTTATGGAATAACTTGAGTAAGTAAAATGTCATACCTTGAATAGATTGCTTCAGAAACAAAAAATTATATTTTTTTGCAAACTTAAATGCTTAATGAACTAAAATAAAATTTTTCAATTTGAATAGTTTGAATAACTTGCATAGAAAAACTCGAACTTCATGCAAACCCATTTCTACAAAGCCAAGTTTTAAATTCTAAAGCTTGACAAGTTAGCTCAAAAAAATTGTACTTTTCAAAACCGAATTGCTCTTTGAAACAGTGGTTTGAACTCTTTCAAAGTTAAATGGTTTGAAATGCTTGCATTCGAATACCTTAAGTTTTTTCAAAATCTAATGGTCTAAAACAAAACTGCTGTTTCAAGATTTTATCTTTTTAATGGTTTTCAGAAAAAAAACGTAAATCATGCTCATCAAATTGGCTCTCTGAGATAACTGAAGCAACTAAAATTTTGTTGCTTCAATAGCTTGATACGAAAAGCTTGCATTTTCATTTTCTGCAAATGAGTTCGATCTATGAATTTACTCTCGGAGTTTTCATGGTTTGAATAGCTTGCTTTAGGAAAACTGATTGCTTCATGAATGACATTGAAACGTTTCGAAGTTCAATCTTTTGAACCGTTTGCTTAGAAAAATTTAACATTTTGAGAACCAAAATAATCTGAGAAATAATTTTCCAAGGTTTCATCGCTTGAAAAGCTTGCTCAAAAAAGAAAATTTTCGCAAAGTGATTCGCTTTAGCAAACATGTTGAATGTTTCAAAATTGAACCCTTTTAAATGTTTGCAAATAAAACAAAAAGTTTTTGCAAATTGAATTGCTCTTTGAACTAGTTTGATTTGTTTCGAAAAAAAAGATACTTCATGATCTTGCATCAAAACTTTGCATAAAAAACTCAAAACGATTCCCTCATTGTACTTATAAATATTTCGAAATTCATAGTTTGAAGAGCCGGCTTAAGCAAACTAATTCGTTCTATGAAATAACTGATGTATTCCAATTTTCTTTGGCTTCAACAGTTTGCATAGGAGAATTTTAATTTTTCTCACAACTTTGGTCCAAGAAAAAATTGATTTAATCTACGGTTTTTTTGCTTGAATATTTTGAAAATAATAATTTTACCATCTAATTCCTCTGAAATAACCTCAAACTAAAAAAAAATTGCTTGAATATAAATTGACATAATCTACGGTTTTTTTGGTTGAACGATTTGAAAAATGTTAATTTCACCATCCAATTACTCTCTGAAATAACGTCAACTGAAAAAATATCGCCTGAATATCTTGCTTGAAAAAGTCGAATTTTTTTGCAAACCGAATCGCTCTATGGCTTAATCTGACAAATTAAAAAGATTAATCGCTTTATTAGCTTGCTTAGAAAAACATTGAATTTTTGCGAACCAAACTTCTCTATGAGATAACTTTAAAAGATTCAACTCAGGAAACATTATACAATTTTTCTTAAACTCATAGCCTAAACAGCCTGCTTAGGAAAAAGTTGAACATCTGCGAGGCGATTCGCTCAATGAATAAAACGAATAAATAGTTAACTTGTAAAATCGATTAGCTTGTTCAGAAAAACCTAAAATTTCCGCAAACCGAATTGGTCTATGGCTTCAATTTAATTTAAACTACGTCAAAAGTTCAATACTTGATCGGCTTGATCGCAAAAAAACTGCTTTTGACGAGTCTTTTGATTATTGAAGCCGGGCTCGATAGTTTCAATTGATGCAGCATTCATTGCAAGTTTTCTTTGGTCAACAAGTCTGAATCAAGTTATTTTAGTCACAAACTGTTCGTTTAAAAAACGGAAAGCCAACAATTTTGCGTATATTTATGAGGTTACTCGAAAAATGAATACAAGTATTAAGATCCGTGTTTTGACCCATAAGAACAATCAAGCTTGCCAATACTCGAAAAAAATTCATTTATCCCATACTGGAAGCGTTTGCATGTTAGATTTTTAGACGGATTTATTGTCTTGAGCACTTTCTGAATCAGTTCAATACTCAAAATCCCAGAATTTACTTTCAATTTGGTTTCTAGAAAATTAGACCGAGTGCCTTTTGCAGGTGAGACGACTCGGTTCCTTGTGTGAAAACATAATCACAGCTATTGGTTTTGGAACTGGACATCTAAAATTTATATCAGAAGATATTTACGTATCAGATGAAGATTTCTACTCATTTCCGAACGTTACATACTATCTGAAGAGACATTTATTTGCATCCCTTTTGACATTTAATCTAGTAAAACGATCAATAATTTGTGAAGAACAACCCTGGATTTGTGAAAAATATTGACCTTGTCGAACATGAAAAATAAATTAATGTCTGCAAAACTGTGGCGATCTATGCTAAATAGTTTTCTCACAATTATTGTTTTAAATGAGGCTGGTTTCAACTATAAAGCAAGTTATTTTTAACAGTTCCTGAACATTTTTTGAACTTTTCCAACATCGCCTGCTAGACCAAAAAATTTAAAATCATCAAATGGCTTCATTTCTGTTGAATTTCGCCTGATAATTTTTCCTTTTTCAGGTTTTTTGTTATTGCATTCGTTGATTTTAATTGCTTATCGAATGATGAAGATGATATAAACACAGCTTAAGAACTTCAACTCTATCAGAACCGAGTCATTGGTTTTATGTTTTGACTGAAGTGGTCAAACCAGATGGCATAGAGTGACCAAAATTCCATGGTTGTGTGAAGCATATGTTTTAACTGAAATTTCAAAAAAAGGTCCTTGGAAGTCGAATCAAAATCGGGCATTTTTGAAAAATAAAAATTTTGCTAGATTTTTCTCAAACGATGAAAAAAATAGAATTTCCAAGCTCTCAAAAAAAAAACGAAAAAGACAGCTCAAAACTGAAGCTTTTGGGCACTTTTTGCCAGACTTTGACCACTAAATGTATTTTTTTCTCAGCGCGCGCTTCGTCTCAAGTTTAGTTTATTTTGCCCTAAAAAGCTTAATAAAGAGCAAAGCCTAAAATAAAGAAAAAACGTCGATGAGCCGAAAAGATATTCTAAAATAGAACAAAAAACCCTTTAGCGCTTGCTACATCATTTGAAAAAATTTCTATGCAACAGACCCCCCGAAACTTAAACTTAAACAATAACTTTGATTGGAAAAATTGGGAAAATCAAACGTTTTTTAAGCAATAAAACTAATTTTCATTAGTCCTTCAGAAAAAAACGGGCCGGTCAGCCAAAAACAGCAATTGTAGAAAAAAGTACAAAATTAGTGAAAAAGAGAATTAGTGGCACTGATCAACCTCAAAAACCATCCTTGAAAACGGACTAACGATTTAAATCCTCTTTTGTTAGTTTTTTTTTGGTTTCATTTTCCAACAGTTTTTGTGACAACTTTCAAGCAACAGAGAATTAGTGGAAATAAGATTTTAACGTATGCTTTTCGAATAATTTACCCTGTGAGTATAACTAATATCTAGATTTCTGCATCAAATCGGATATTCCTAAATTCAGTTTTTTGTATCTATGCCTATCAAATTGACCCCAAACTATTGAAAATGAAATTGACATTTGATAAAGTTTTGCATAGTTGTACTTCTCATTTCCGCGAGAGCCCTTAATTTTGCACAATTCGAAAGAAAATCCCTTCAGCGCAAAAATTTGTGATAAAAAACTCTCGTGGTGACTTTTGTTCACTGTGGCACAGGTGGAAGTTTGTTCAAACTTCGAAAAAACTCGAGTACACAATTTGCTCAAGTTTCGGAAAAAAATAGTTAAAATTACTACCTTGCAAAAATTCATCGAATTGAATTGATTTGGACCCATTTTTAGGGCAATAAAATACTTTTTTTTAAAATTTAAAAAGCCATTTAAACCATTCTAAAGTTATTTGCTTATTAATGGGCTATCGTGTATCGATTTCCATACAGTATAATGTCTGTATAAACACGATTTAAATTGATTTCAATCTCAATTTTGTCAGTGCTGGAATTGGGCGTAAAGTGTCAATTTGAAACATTGCCAGGTTCGATTTGATCCATGCCGAGGAAATATCATCACATCTGTTGGGTTTGGTGCCGGTCAGATCAAATATATCTCGGAATCATATGCAGTCAACAGGCTATTTTCTAATTTCCTCTCAAGTTTTCACGGTTAAAAAAACTATAGAAATTATTATGAACGCTCCAAAAACGTTTTTACCTTACTCTCTTAAGTAAAAATAAAACTATACCTCTGTCTATGATACCTTTGTTCAACAAATGTGAGCAAGATAATTTAGCCCTCAACTGCTCTTCTCTTTATTGCTAATAAATTTTGACTCATTTTAACAGAAAAAACTGCCAAATAAAATATATTCAAAGTAATGGAAAAATTTCTGAATGCAGGACTAAGCATGAATTATGTTTTAAAGACGCAACCCATCCATATTTAGAAAATAGCCAAAAAACCAAATCTAGGGATGGTTATCACTATATGCCAAGAGGTGATTTCCTGGCCCAGAGCATGGGTACAAGTGGCCAATATCTCGTGATCTGGTTGAGTTTCAACAAATTCAAGAGACATTTAGTCTGTCGAGATCAGAGTTGGATTTGTGATATGCATGGACCGCCTAACTTAGACGATCATCTCATGTAGCATGAAGACACAATTGCTGTCCGTTCTGATGAGGAAGGATTCAATAATGTGATATTCTCACTCTAATGAAAAAGAGGAAAAAGAAAAGCAGACTTAGAGAAGACCTTAGTTCTGCAGAAAATAGCTCAAAAAACGTTAGTTAAAACCAAAAAAAAACTCTATCGGCATAGAACGATCGGTACTCCTTTAGAAGTGTGATACCTTCCATTTTGCGGAGTCTCATTCAAAAACTCGTTTAGATGTGTGATCCCGCCAGATCTCTCTATAAATGTACTTCAAATACTTCAAATTTGTAACATCCTACGAGGTATCTTCGTGGGAAACTAAATTATAATTCCAAAAGAATTAAATTGGTTCTTGAATAAATAGTTTTCTCTTTTGACAACTGCTGAGATCTACATAGGTTTATGTTAGTCTGATCTCTCAGCGGTGTACCGATTTATAATAACAAGTAGTAGTTGATGTTGGAGCTAAAGTGGTGGGGGGAGGTGGGTGACCCCCATGTATTAAGATAGGGAATAGATCATCCGGTCACCCAGCTATGTATTAAGATTGGGTATAGAATCTACAAGATATTAAGATAGGGAATACCAATGCTAAGTTTTTACGGTTTATGTGATGGTAAGATAATGGTAAGAAAAACGATTTTTTTGGAATTTTGTGTGGAAATTTTGTGTAGTTTTTCTCGCAAAAATATTGGCGCGGTATCTAACCTTAAAATATCACTAATTAATTACGTGTAGATTGTGGAATGAAGATTTTTTAATTAGTATTTTGGTACATGGTAAATCAATGGTAAGAGTTTGAGCAAAAATTGAGAATTTTTTATCAAAAAATTTGATTTTTTATCTAAAAAATCTTCAAAATACGAGAAGTTTGGGTATAATTTGATCTATTATTTACTTTATTACTTTTTGAAAAAGTGCTATATCTACCTAAAAGAATGCTCCAATCTACTGAAACTTCGAAAAAAGCCGAAGGTTTTGAAAAAAAAACGTAAATAATTCAAGTAACTCTTGAAAAAATTGCAAAAATATGGATTTTTCCACAATTTTCACTCAAAACATTAAAATATGATACATCTTACCCTAATGTGAGCTCAGAAGGAGGTTATATAAGTTTCTGAGTATCAAAGGCAAAGCTCATAATGGCTTCAAACCTACTGAAACTTCGAAAAAAGTCAAAGTTTTTGGAAAAAAATGCAAAAAATTCAAGTTTTTGGAAAAATTGCAAAAATTTCAGGTTTTTGGAAAAAAATTGCAGAAATCTCATAATTATGGCTAATGCATTGTTGCTTCTGATCTAATTGAAAAAAATTTTTTACGTACAGAGGTTAAATTTGAGCTCAATCTGTCTATTATTTGGCATCATGTTGAGACAATGATACAAAATTTTGAATAATAGGGTTTTACGGTTTATGTGATGGTAAGATAATGGTAAGAAAAACGATTTTTTTTTGGGATTTTGTGTGGAAATAACTAGTTTTTTTCGCAAAAATATCGGCGCGCGTTATCTAACTTTAAAATATCACTGTTTAATTACGTGTAGATTGTGGAATGAAGGTCTTTTAATTAGTATTTTGGTACATGGTAAATCAATGGTAAGAGTTTGAGCAAAAATTGAGAATTTTTTATCAAAAAAAATGATTTTTTTTTTCTAGAAAAATCTTCAAAACACGAGAAGTTTGGGTATAATTTGACCTTTTAAATACATTATTATTAAAAAAGTGCTATATCTACCTAAAACAATGCTGCAATCTACTGAAACTTCGAAAAAGCCAAAATTTTTGAAAAAAAATTGCAAAAATTTCAAGTAATTCTTGAAAAAAATGCAAAAATATGGATTTTTACACAATTTTCACTCAAAACATTAAAATATGATACCTCATACCCTAGGAAGTAATATAAGGAGCTCAGAAGGAAGTTATATAAGGTTCTTATCAAAGGGAAAGCTCCTAATGGCTTCAAACCTACTGAAACTTCGAAAAAAGTCAAGATTTTTGGGAAAAAACTGCATAAATTTCAAGTTTTTGGAAAAAAATTGCAGAAACCTCATAATTATGGCTAATGTATTGTTGCTTCTCATCTAATTGAAAAAATGTTTTTACGTACAGAGGTTAAATTTGAGATCAAAATATGTTTTAATTGGCATCATGTTGAGACAATGATACAAAGTTTTGAATAAAAAAATGAATTTTTTCACAAATTTTTCTCATATTACTGAAATACGATAAAGTTTAGTTAATTTGTGCTAAAAGCGGGTTATATGATGCTCTATACACTACAAAGAAAGCTCATAAAAGAAGAATCAATATTGAAACTTCCAAAAATTAGCGAAATTAGTCGTAGGTAAAGTAAAAATTAATCAAATTTACCCAAAGTTTTCCATTTTCAATCTTTTATTTTGTTAATTAACTGTTTTTTTCTTTGTCTTTTTGTCCAGTTCAGGGAAAATTTTACCAGCCCTTATTGTCCAATTCAATTAAACAATAAGAGCAATATTCCATGAAATTTCTAGATCAAACTGCATGATTCAACTCCTTCTCAGTTTTTGATTTTTCCCAAATTTGGACAAAAATTATAATTTGTGAGACTTTTTTTCATTTTAATAATTATAAATTTCAGTCAATGATCAAAAGTGAACAGTTTTTTGCTAAAATTAACCAAAACTGAGGTAAAATTTTCTTTAAAAGGTATTAGATTTTAGAAGAAATTCAACAAAATCTTCTTCATAACTGACTATTATCTCTCTGGTGCTTTCAAAACATAATTTTCATGGTTTTTCTGTAGAAATGTTCTAAAATTATAGTTATTATTGTTTTCTGCCCAATACATGCTTTCGCGATTGAACTCACTTTGCGAGAAAATTTGTTCAGAACTGGGAAGTTTAGGAGGAAAATAGTATCAATTGAACAAACAACTTGCTGGCAGAGACAAAATTAGAACTGTTACCGTCTGATTATTATGATATAAATTGTAAATGACTTCTTCAAGGTTCCCTTGTTTATGTGCTAGAGTAAAATTTTTAAGCAATTTTTGAGAAAAACACAACTTTTGATATCATTAACTATCACTTCTCTTGCAAATTAATTAGTATATTCCTTTTTATTCTTTATTTTTGTCGGAAGTTTTCTCAAAAATGTTCAAGTGATAAAGAATTAGGGCTAGTTGAAGCATTCACAAGCACATGAAAAAATGAGAATATTAAAGTGTATTTTATCGTTGAGCTTTTAGAGCAAATTAAGAGCAGCCATTTTGATTATAATCTGAAAACATAGTCCCTAACATCTAAAAACTTCTAAAAGAGCGCGTCTCAAAAAAAATAGATTTGGCAAAGGAAATCAAGGTGCAAACTGGAACAATTGTATAGTTTTCCGAAATTTATCAAGCGAAAAACTCTATAGCTCTACCTAATTTTCTATTTGAAAAAAAGCTAAACAGAACAAAACTTTTACTGTTGTCTAATTGGAACTTTTCATGTTGAATGTCAAATAATCAATACTTGGTTCTGCTAGAGTGTTATTTTGTTCTGAAACTTTCAGCAAACTCCATTTTATTTTCTTTAAAAACCTTTCCACATCAAATTTTTTTTAATCCAAAAATTTGAAATGTAGAGTATAAAAATTGAAAATTTTAGTGTAAATTTTTAAGTGAGAATGATGTTCATCATTATCTTGAAAATTTTCAAAGTTTAGCAAAAAAACATCTTTTTTTTTCCAGGTCAGTTATCATTTTTTTTCTGAAATCATTAAAAAAACAAAAGAAAGCCATATTTCTTAATAAGTCAACAGCCCTTATCTGCTTAAAAACGCTCGACTCTATGAACACTTTTACAAGCACTAAACAAGGAAAAATATAAAATAGTAACTACACAAAACCTTTTATTTAGACAATGTTTTAAAAATATCCAGGTTTTACAATTCTTAAGCAAATACTTAACTACTCATTAGCAAATGTAATGCACTTTTTCTACAAGATTATCGCAACAAAGTCTCCGCAAGCTAGCAACCGAGGGAGTTTTTACTGTTTACTAAAGATTTTGGGATCGAGTTCTATGGAAAGTTCCACGACAATTTGAACTCGATTTTTGCTGTCCTTATCTTCAATCAAAACTTTTGATTAAAAAAAAATGAGAGTTCAGGTATTGTGATGAAAACACTGTATTATTTTTACTAAATTTATCACAATTGTATAGAATTTTCAGATTCAGTAAAAATTGATAATCATATTAATATCTACGTTTTTAATAAAAAAACACTTATTTTATTTTTCCTTGAAGTTTGTTTGGAGACTGCTGAGCATATAATTTAACATTATGTTGGCAATGCTTCTTGTTGAAATGATTAGTGCGTTCCTCGCCGCTACTTGTATAAAAGTTACAATTCGAACACTTCAAAACACCACAGTTTCTACGACGTCTTGATGCGTGTAAGGGAGTGTTATCTCTACTATATTAAAGACATGCAATTCTATCGTTTCTAATTA